CCTGGTACCGACCGTGGTACCGGGCGGGACTGGACTGGACTGAAACAATATACGGCCTGTGGGGTCAGGCCACGGCCTGGTCCCACAGGCCGAACTGGCAAATAGCCAAATAGGCCCTGGCTGTAGGCCAGGGCAGATGAAGGCCCGCTGCAGTGCCCCCCCAACCTCCATTTTGTTATGATCTCCCATCCTTCCTCTGCCTCCTCTTCCTCTATCACCTGGCTGATTCCTCTCCCATTTCCTCCTCCTCCCCCCATACCTCCTCTTCCTCCAATTATTCCTCCATCCCATCTGCCCCCTATCTCCTTCCTGTATTTCTCCCCCTCCTCCCCTTGCTCCCCATTACTTGCTGTCGCCGCTTGCTCTCTTCCATTTCCACCTCCTGTCCGTCCCCCTTGCTCTGCGGATGGCTTTGTGAGCCCTCTTTCTATGTCCTTTGGATGATCACGCAGAGGTCCATTGGTTTGGACTGATTGTCTGTTGTGCTTTCTCCTCCCTCCTTCCTATCTGCCTGACAGTGTGTTAAAAGAGGATTGCTCATGACAGAGCTATTGGAAGAGTCCATTCCCACAGACAACGCTGTAGTGGACAATGACGGAGTCTGAGTGAACGCGCGTTCTTCAGAAGTCAATATCTCATCATCCGAGATTGAGAGACTATCCTGTGACACTTTCTGCGTAGATGTATACACTGCTTTCTGTACAGCTTTCTGTACTGAGTGCGCATGAATGATCGCTTAAACAGGCGTATGGAGCTGTCGCATCGCAATGTGCCTCAAAGCTCCCCTAAACATTAATGTAGTGTCTGCCTGTCTTTGACTTCTTCGTTGATGACTAATCCTCGTCATTTTGAACGAAAAATGTACACGTTAGATTAGGATTCAATTACGATTAGTTGAACGACTAAAATAATTAACCAATTGCCAATTGGTCAATTATGGCAAAGTCCACTCTGATTTTTTTAATTATTATTATTTTTAATCAACGTTGACTTTTCTCTTTTCCTTGAAGTTAAATTGGATTATTCTCAAATTGGTTGGACTGGCTAGTGAGAACAATCATTACAAGGGTAAAGGGAATAGAGAGAGGTATAGGGATGAGTAATGAGAGTTTTCCAGAACATCACCCGTTTCTTCCGTTTGAAGTCAACGCAGATTCGCTTCTCTGTCTTCTGCCCACACGCCAGTCGTGATGTCTGCTTCTTCAACTACTTTTGTCTCCCTTACCCTCCTCCCCCCACCTCCCCACAAGTCACAAGAGAGAGGTTGTATCACTCCCACTTACCACCCCTTGCTTTGCAAAGTGGCTTTCCCACCAAATCTTTTTTTTTTTTGGCGGTACTTGTTCCACTATTTCCCACCCTATAGATGTGTTGGAGATCCAAGGCAAGCTGCTCCCCTTCTATGCCACATAAAGTTGAGGACCCGCATTCAGCTACCGAATAGAATGCCCGGTCATTATCGCTGCATCTGGACTGAAAGTTGGGCCAAATGCCACTATAATGACCCGGCGTTCTATTTGGGTGAAGACGGTAGCTCAAAGAGTCAAAGGTGTCCGTGAGACCCAGCCCCGAGCAAAAATCAGGGCCAACAGGTTCAACCAAAAATAGATTTGGATTAGAAGCTTGAACTTTTTTTTTATTCCTTAGATTGAGATTCCAAAGATGAAGATAATATTATATTTTTTTTCAACATTTGTTGTAGCTGATCATGTTCAAAAAAGACATGTTGTAACAGTTGCTATTCCCAGCAAATAGATTGGAGCTTGTCTAGAAACCAAAAGGAAAAGGTGGGGGGCCAATTGGTAGCCACCTCTTCTTTTCTTGTCTTTTGGGGCATTCTGTAAATCTGAGAAGACTAAATCACTATGGCCTCTGTGCAACTTGAAAAAGAAAACATTTTTTTGTTTATTTGTCAGCTTGCAATATTTTTGTTTATATTTCATTTTTTGTAAAATTTTTATTTTAGAGAAAACTAGGGTGCGGTCATGGTTTGAGTATCTAAATGCATTTCAAACTGCAGTTTTTAATTCCAGTTCCGTGGGGATACGCAGTCTAAACTCCGCTTTGCAGAAAAGTCGCAGCACAGAGTTCGGAACTGCACTTCAGTCAGGCAGGTGGCCGTTTTTTTTTTTTTTTTTTTTCCTGGTCGTGCG